TTAGATGATGGCCCTCATTTCTAAAGAATCACAATATTAAATTCAGATGCATATTTTTGTTTGACCCAAGTTTAATCGGTTAGTAAAAAGGAAATAAACTCTTACCCCGTTAACAGGGTAAATTGTAAAAACTGATGAAAAATATGTAGCCAAACAGTTGAGGTTATAACTATATTTTATGATTGAACAGGCCTGATTTTCGTTTTACCATCGAAAATTTTCAAATAATAAGAAGAGAGGCTTTATTTTTACAATTTACAATTTTAAGGAATATCGAGTATTCTGGGGGAGTGAATGTGACATTTCTATGTTTTTATCGAGGGTTGTGTTTGTGTTAATTTATTGGGATGAGTTTAATTTATTAGTGTGAAAGGAAGGGGTTGCTTATAATCCCGTCCCGAGGAATGTCGAGTACTCTGGGGTGAGTGTGATGTCTGGAGAGTAAAATTAAGTTATTAGCGAGAATGGATTAGGTTAAATCCCGCCCCATAGGAATATCGAGTATTGTGGGGGAGTGAATGTGACCAGACATCTATGTTTGTCGTGATGTATATATTTATTGTATGTTTTGTTTCTATTCTATATTTGACAACCTGAGGCAGAAACGAGAGGCTAGCATTTTAGCATATCGCTGTGGTACACACTTAAAACCAGAGATTAGAGCCAGATCGAGACGCTCAAATGACTGTAGTTTAAAACAAAATACGTTCGAAGGAAAAGAAAAAGAAGGGAAACAAGCAGAGGGCCGGCAATGACCTCAGCTGTTTGTCGGTCCATAAACCTCCCACCTTATTATTATAATTTTAATATGGGCAGTTTAAAAGAAAGCATAAAAATATTAAATTTTGAGATTTCTCCTCGAGGTTTGCGGGGTGATGAAACCATAGCTTGGTGTTTTCGATCACCTTGGTCCGCTGAGCCTATTCTTTTCTTATAGGTTTGTGCAAATGTAGAAAAAATTCAGACTAACCACACTTAGGATGGCTTTATTGACTTCCTATAAACACGTATAAAAAGGACATGATTGACAGAATAACGTCCAGACCAGCAACTGAAAATGGTGAAATGCTGAAACGCTTCTGCCCATTCTTGTTTTGGTCTGCCATGCAATTCGATCGTGTTTAAATATCCGTGTGGCTCTGCCCTATGAGCTGATGCAAAAAAAAAAAAACTATCCTAGTTTTTCTGTTCTTACTGTTTTGGTCTGTCCGAAAACAATGGACCGATTGACGAATAACGCCTAGACTAACCACTGAAGGTGGTGAAATACTAATATGCTTCAGCCTATCCTCCTTGGTTTGGTCTACAAAGCAATTCGGTAATTTTTAATTATCCTGGTCCCCCTAATTTCGTTGTTTAGTTTTATCAGCTTTACCTTATACCTACCACATGTGAAAAACGTATAAAAACGACACAATTGACAGAATTATGCACAGACCAACCACAGCAGATGGTGAAATGCTTGACTGCATCTGCCCATCCAGACCATGTTTGGGTCTGTCGAGTAATTTTGCTGTTTTCTATAAACCTGGTCCGCCTATTCTCGCTGTTTGTCAACCGTACTGCAGATTAATCACTCCTCAGACCTCAAAAGGAAAACTGACAATTCAAGTTTATATAATAGAACATGATCCTATTTGTTCAAAAACGATTAATGTTTAGTTCAGCTTCTTCAGCTCGATCACACGTGCAATAGGCCTGCTTTATATAATTGGTAAGAAATTCAGCATTTTTTCGACCCTTTTCTCCTACCACGTGAGAAAATATTGCACAACAATCGTTAGAGAAAAAATACATTTGAAACGTTAAAAAGACACGTAGCGTCTTTACGCTTGAAGAGAACGCCAGGTGGTTCCAACGGTCATAGTAAATTTGAATAAATAGTTTATCCATGGTTTAAGTCGAAGATGTACCCTACGATTTTAACTATTAGGCTTATGTGTAAATTTTCAGGAAACATTTTAAACATGCATTCCGTTGTGGTGTTTTTTCATTCTTCTTAAGGAGAAAGTTATTTTGTGAACAGACCCGCAAAAATGGTTTATCGGTGATTCATAAAACTGGTTGTATTTTATTTAAAAAACTAACAAGAAATATATTGGAATTTAATGATCTCGTCAAGTATTTCATTCTATCTCTTCCCTTGATCTTAGGAGGGTCTCCAGGATCAACGAACAACTTAGACTACGTTACGCATAAGGTTCTCCTTGCAGGCCTGCTTAATTATTCCAACAGGTCTTTTTCCTTAGTCATAACCCATGGAATTAATGAAAAATTAAATGATCTCATCAGTCGCGGTTGCTTGGAAATTAATGTGAACCTTGACTGGAAATTATCACCATCGTTAGGGAATTTGGTTAATTTATTAAAGCATTTGTACAAATATTGCATGAAAAACATATTTAGTTTCATTTTGATGTTGTCTGTTATTTACTGTCAAACAAAAAATTTAAACAGAACAATCAGTTAATTTATTGAAAATGGAATCATTACTACAAGGAAAATATAAGATAATTATTCAAAGGTTTTTATAATTGAACATCGGGCAGGGTCAACTTAAAAAAAAAATCGAACTCGAATTAATGGATAAGTGCTGGACTCTTAGCATAAAAAGATTAAATTTTCTTCGTTTCAACTTAGATTGTATTTTGAACAGAAATTTCAAAATTGGAAGTGCTTCCTGTCAAACAATGTATTAGATCAAGCATTACACTTAATTTTTTTATTTTATTTATTTTTATTTTTTATTTTATTTATTTTTTACTATTTCTAAGTTTTGTTATTTATATATATATTTCTTATAAAATGCTAACATGTCGTTTCTGAACAATCAGGTGAGCCTTACCTCGCTGTTTTGATCTGTCAGACACGTTTGGTCATTTCGCCATTTAAGTGGTGATTTTGGCAGGCCTCTTCCAACTTATATCTGAAGCTACCGATGTGCAAGAATGCGTATGACAGATCAAAATAGAGAGTATAAATGGACCAAATGATCGGACAAGACCAAAAACTAAAGCCCCTCATCTAATTCTCAAATTTCTTATGGTCAGGTTCAAACTGTTTCTTAATAAAACTACTTTGACAAAGCGCCTGCAAGTCAGGAAAATTTTTACCGTAATTTCTTATAAAAGGTTAATTTCATCCAGCTGGTATTTTGCATTTAATTCATATTATTAACATTTTAATCTGTATTTTGGTTGTTTCCGATGATCCTGGCCTGCCAATCCTCGCCGTTTTCTGTTAGATCCGTCCCTCCGTTACGCTATTTTCAGTGGCGAGCTTTGCGTCACCCTCCTTACATCCCTGACCAACCACTGTAGGTGGCGATGGGCAAAACGCATATGTCATACCAAAACAGCGAGTATATTGTCCGACCAGGATGATTGGAAACGATCAAACTACGTGATCATCAACTCATCAATCTCCCACTCAGAGAAATCTCACAAAAATAAGTTTATGTTCTCATTCAAATCGCCCATTATTGAAATTACTTTATCAAAGCGTCTTAACTTTATTAATTTATCACATGACAATTATGTAAAATAAAACGATAAAAAAACGAGCGAATGTTTAAGTTTCAGGTATCACCATTAAATGCTTGTTTCGAGAATAAATTTTTTTGTATGCAAGTTGTGCCACAATTTCATACAAAATGTTAACTTTTCCAAGTTGGCTTAAAATTAACATGTGAATGTGTAGTTTGGTACTTTCTGTCAATCTAATCTGACTATGCTCGTTGATTTGGGTCTGTCACAGGCGTTTTTCCATTTAGCTATCTTCAGTGGTAGGCATTACTTCTTTTTCGCACCCTGCTTATACCCCTGATCAGCCATTGATGGCGGTGCTTGAACACATAAGACCATAACAGCGAGTATACGCCAACCTGGATGATAGGAAATGACTAAAGAACAGAATCATTATCCAGAACTCTCATAATGTAATGTTTTCGTTCAAACCGCCCATTACTAATTTCTTTGACAAAGCGCCCTAACTTTTAAATTTATTGTTGGATAATTATGGGTGGTAAAATAAAACAAGTACATGTTTTTTAAGTTTCAAGTCATGAAATACTTGTTAGAACAATTTTTGTTGTCAGCAAGTTGTGCCACAATTTCTTATAAAATGTAAACTTTTCCAAGTTAAATTTAATATTATTAGCATGTTAACGTGTAGTCTGATCAGTCTGGTCTGATTATGCTCGTGGATTTTGGTAGGTCAGAGGTTTGGTCATTATTACTACATCGTACCCTGATTATACGACGATCAACCTCTGATGGCTATATATGACGACCATAAGATCGCGGAGTAGGTTGATCGTAAACGACCAAGGGTCATCATCCCGCAGGTCTCAACAACCCTCTAATCTAATATTTTGATTTGAAATGTCTTGACAATTTATATTTTGAAAACTATGAATTATAAGTGGTAAACAAGCCCATGTTCATCAGGAAATACGAGAAAGATGTTTGATCTGCGAAAAACCTTAATTTTTTAACGTCTAATTTTTTCTCAAATTGTTCTCAACAATTTGTCGTTCTTATTCGGCCTATAGGCAGAACTTGTCTGACATGCTTGACATTGAACGGTTGTAACCGTGTACAAGTCGCTGTACCTGGACCATGTAACACTTACGCCTTCGAACGAACAGAGGTTCAATTTGCCCTTTAAACAGGCGGCATAAATCCCTTTTTAAATATATTTACCAACGGACGACCCTTTAAAGCCGTGTCGCGCACATTCAAACCGCCTTGATGGCAATTAGAACGAGTGTTCAAATACCGGGGGAATTTTTGAGCAAGTAACTCACTCGGTGTAGTAATGGAGTTTGGGGCAATTTGGGATTTGTAATATTGACATTGCAACACATGTAGAAGGTCAACCAATAAGAAAGGGGGTCAGGCGTTGCACTCTTTACCCTCGTTTCGCCTTTGCTAACATGTCAAGATTTTTTTAAATATATTTTTTTCTTTTTTTCAATTTAGTTCGTTTTTCTGTTTCAGGGCCTCATCAGGCATTTCAGGCCCGAGCTGGAAGACAGGATGTCGAAATTTAAACAGAAATCGGCAGCTCACAATTAAAACAAATATCGACATTTTGTAGATTAAACACTATCTAAAAATTGATTGTGAGATTCATTCGCTTGTTTGCAATTTTTTTTTTGTCGAAATGGAGAGCTACAGTTTTAACTTTTAAAATTTAAAAAACAAACAAAAAACATTATTCTATTTAAACTGGGAACTTAAAATCTGAAACTTAGAAAGTGTACTATAAATACTGTACATAGAACATAAGTTAAATAAAATGTTAAATTTAACATCTTTTATTTAATATTAAATGGTTGTCTTAAAACGTCAAAATAAACGTTTTCAACTGTTTGTCAACCCTTTCATTAAAACATGTGATTATTTCTTTTTTAACAGTAATTGAAGAAAATACAATTGATGTATGAATTCGGCATGTGTAAAATTTTTAAATTTTTTAAAATTAATTTGTTCATTTGGCCTATGCGATCAAATTAGAATGGCAATGGCACCAATCCGATGTAAAAAATATACTCAGTCAAAAATAATAATAATAAAAAACGGACTCTTCAATTTTGCTGATTAACTAATGATAGATTAAATTTTAACTAACAATTTTTCTATCATTAATTAACTGATTTTCCGGTGTTTTGGTGAATTTTATTTCAAGACATCATAATTAAATTTTTTTAAATTAAAACATAAATTTCTGATCTTTTAATTTTGTTCATATTGAAATAAATATGCTATAATTAATTGACGATACAAATACATACACATAGTTCGAAATAAACAACAAAATAGGAGTGTCCGTTTTTTTGTTTTTGAGGGTAATAATTTATCAAAATTGATGCATTATGGTACTTGGTCCCAAGGATTCCGAAGGGTGGTTAGTACGGAGAATTAGAAGAAAAAGAAAACTTGCTCGGCAACCAAAGCTAGAAATAAAACATTCTTTCGGCAAATTTTTGAGAAGATTTAGGTTTTTTTTTGGAAATAGAAGGTAAATATTTACCTCGACCTATAAACGTTTGTGAAAAAAATAAACATTCCCAGAATACGCTACTTCTCTTTAGCGAACGGTTTGATCCTATCGAATAATCTACCACACATCAACATTACACACGGTTATGTTGATTGTAAAGAGTATTTTTTTTAATGTAAAACCAATATATACTGAGGCAAAAAAATGGCCACCCTTGATATTTTTAATTATCCCATAGACAATCATTGATTGTCTTACAACATTTGGTCCGTTTTAAAGGATTAGAGGTAAGTATAACACAGATAAAATCTCCCACTTATGCTTACAATTGGATTTTGAAAATAAATCTTTGAATACTCAATCTCTTCTTCGTTGGTTTTCCTGTTAAGCTTCTTTCTAACGTCCAGTGGTTTGATATTTTTAAGCTGTACCATTTTTGAGTTTTTAAATTTGTTTGTGATGGTTTTAAGTGAAATTGATTGGGCTAGAATCATTGTTGGTTGCATAACATTTCCAGAACAAGTCCGAAGGGTCTTCCATCGCTACCAAGATATTGGATGTTACTCAAGAAGGCATGGATCAGGTCGCCATCGTGTCACATTTCAGAGAAATGGTCATTTTATTGTTTCGAATGTACTCTGTAATCGACATTCTACCACTGTAGAGATCAAGCGACGACTTCAGGAAGTTAGTAATGTTAATGTCAATTTATGCACTAGGCGAAAAGCCTTTTAGGAGCTGGATTATGTGAGGGAAGGCCTTTCACTGGTCCAAAGCTTCTGACTGGCTCAGTTAAGTTTTGGAAGTTATCACATCAATTGGTCTGGGCAAGATTGGACTAAAAACTTGAACTCCATCTAGGGTTTTCCAACATCTGCGTGATACAAAATGAATATGTTCTCAGAAGTTGTTCCTTACATGCTACAATTGTTGACGGTTTTATTTTTATGCAAGACAATGCAAAGCCTCACACAGCTGTGATCTTTGGTGACTACTTAGAACTGGTTTCAGTTCAATGTTTTGAGTGGCTAGCTGGAGGGCTCAACTTAATCCTGAGTCTAGACTTAGTCCTATGGCAGCTTTGCGACGAGTTGTCAAAGAGAGTCAAGTCGTCCAGTGATGCCAGAGAATTTTCAGGAATTAAGAATGGCGCTGTTGGAGGAGTATGAACATATTTCATAGCACATTTAAAACCTCATAAAATCGATGCCATGTTGAATGCAATCGGAGGAAATACACCAAGCTGAATTGAATATGTTCTTCCTTGTTTCTTGATAAAATTGTTCTACTCAGTTTAATTTTTTTAGCTATAACTTATATAAAAAAAAATCCAGTAAAAAAATTGTAAAGATTGAAAGTATTTATTAAAAACAAACAAGGGTGGCACTTTTTTCTTCTCAGTGTATTTAATTGGTTTTGTCATAGTTTTTCTTTCAAGCTGTTTATAATTGCATATTTAATTAAACAGTGTAATAGTTTTGAGGAGGGGACACTGAACAATGGAAGTTAAGAAAAAACGAAACTTTTATAGCTATTACATATTTATTATTCCTAACTTTTGTTTTTCCTGATATGCATCCATGACAACTTTTAAATCTGTGTTAAACTTTCAATTTCATTTTAACCTTTTTTTAATATAAAAAAGACAGTTTGAGTGGTAAAAGTGTAATAAAAGGTCTAGATTTTTTTTTTCATAAATAACAGTATCTAAAAATTAAGGATATTTATTTACTTTTTACTTAAGACAGAGAATTCGACATTGTCTAAGTACTTTCCTATTAACAAATCATTTTTTTAATTACTCTTATAGTTTCTAACACAACAACTAGACAACAGAATTGTATTCACATCGATATTTACAAAACAAAAAGTACATTAAGGTAAAGTTCCTTTTATATACAATTCAGTCATGTGGCGAATTATTCCTACGTTTTGAGAGCGAAGCTTTCAAAAAAGAACTTATCCAGAATGCTTGTCCATTTAGTTATTCTAGTTCAGTCTTGAACGGGTGGAAGAGTGTTGGACACCTCAATTTATTTTTAGTCGCTAGCCCTATAAGGGCAAAGTAATCAAAAAGGAACATTAATACTAAAAAAATCGCGCCGAACACCGCACATCCGTTCCACCTATTCAGAAGTGAACTAGATTACGTATTTTATGATAAATATAGTTAAAATATATTTTGGCACTATACTGCCTGACACAATGCGTCACTACGCAGTAGCGAGCGCAATTACTTTAATTAAGTCAGTCTTATAACAAATCCAACCGAACGAAACTCTCTCAATAGGAATACATGGAATAAAAGGCCCTCGCCGAAGACCCTCAACAACAACTAACATCCATTATTTCTTCAACTATATACACAAAGACGAAAGAAAAGAAAATTTACGGGGCGATAAAATTATTTTTACAAGGCCCCGGCCTTAGAATTTAGAATGTACAAGGTTGGTGGGACGCTTCACAACTTCTTCAAAGGGCAAAACGATACAAAATATTTGTTAATAGTCTAAAATTTAACCAAAAAGGAACAGTTAAACGTCTGGTACGATTTGGTCCTGGGACGAAGAGTGGTAGCACCGCTCTTCCGTTGTGAGCCAAGGGTGGATGAGCACGTCCGAAGCCGTCAGCCTTTCTGACGGCTCCTTCCTCAGCAGACTGCGGATCAGGCACTTCGACTTCGACGAGAGGCATTCCGGAACGAGAAAGTGGCCTCGGCTGATTTTCATAAAAAGATTAGCGTGTTCCGCATCATTAAAAGGATACCTGCACAAAAATAAAGAGAGAAATTTATTACATTTCGAATTTCAGAAAATATACTGTCATGCAATAATTATAAAAATTATTTATCTCAAGTGTGACAAATCTATTAGTGGGTGGATTTACACCGCGTCACAATTAAATTACAACGCACTCGAAATATTATAAATGCAGTTTTAATAATGATCTTTGTTAATAAATTCGTCAATGTCGGCGTGAAAAATAACTAGACGTTCGTTCAAAGTAACTTAATTGTTTCAGAACTTCAAAAATAAACTTCAAAGTATCAATAGGTCTAAGTTCGGTGTTTTTTCCCCGCAGTGCCGCGCTACTCTGATATAGTCATATGGCTTCCCCTCCTATTTTTAGGCCTGTCCTGACGTCGAAAGCGTTGAAAAGCCTCCGTAAAATAAAATGCCTTCGACAAAAGCGATGCCGAAAAAGTTGAACGTTTTCGAGTGTCTACTCAACGACTACGCGAAAAACCCCAGGTCGATAATGATAATAGACGCCTATCTTTTCTACACCGTCCTAACAGGGCTTCTACAGCTGACCTACTGCATGGTCTTTGGTTCGTTCCCGTTCAACTCCTTCCTGGCCGGCATCGTCTCCTGTGTCGGCTCTTTCACCCTGGCCCTCTGCCTGCGTCTACAGTGGAATCCGAAAAACAAGTTTATATTCCCGATGATCACTCGTGAGAGGAGCTACGCTGATTTCATATTCGCCCAAATCATCTTGCAGCTTTGCGTCGTCAACTTTTTGGGTTAACGCACAAAACGTAAATTATAAGATTTTTGTCAATTTAAATGTGTCAAAATATGTATTTACGCTTAGATCCATAGAAATAAAAAGTTGTGTATTTTATTTTAGCGGCTTTTATGTTACCTAGGGTAATATACACAGCACAAGCACAAGCACACACATACACACGTGCACGCACGCACGCACGCACGCACGCACGCACACACCGCTACAATATAAACAATTAAAGAACTGTTTTGAAAATATTCGTAGTGTGGTCACGGTAGAAATAATAAAAGGCACGGGAAAAAATAGCCTCACAAATCAGCTGATTCTGGATATCTTTTCTCGAAAAATATTGTATTACGCAAACACGCAGACGCAATCAAACGAACACTTAATGAGCACCAGAATAGGAACATTTTGAATGTTAAGTATTCATAATATTAACAAAAACAGCTTCACGAATCAGGTGATTTTGAACTTCCATTGTTGACAAATATTATTACACATACAAACAATAGTAATCAAACAAATATTAAGGGCCATGTACAGCGGGGAAAACAAGCTCCTTGAATCCGCTAATGAAGTATTTCTATAATGGAGAAATATTGTCTAAAACACATACACACGCACGAACACAGACAGTAAAGTAAACAATTATCAAGTATTTCAATCAAAACAGTGAAATGTACAAAAATAAAACAGCTTCGCCAATCAGCTGATTCAGAATTACATAATCCACAAGTCGAAAAAATATTAAGATCCATAATCGACAAATTGAACAAACATTAAGTCACATAATTGACAGATAAAACAAATATTAAGCCCTACAATAGATCAAACAAACATTAATATTTCTTGGGTTTCTTTTCTGGAACTTTCTTTCAAAGAAAATGAGTCTGATGGTCGTCTATACCTGAAAACCCAAGAAATATAAAAAGGTAAAAACCGAAAAAGAAGAGTAAAAAATAACAAATATTAAGTTCTATAATCGATAAATAGAACAAATATGAAATCCCTTAATCGACAAACCGGACAAATTTAAGTCCAACAATGGACAGATAGACCCAAAATTGACAAATCGAATAGATATTAACTTTAACATCGTCTGATCGAAAAAAATGTCAAACCTCAAAATCGAATAAATATTAAGACCCAAAATTGTCAAATCGAACAAATATCAAGTCCCATAATCGAAATAGTAGTTAGCGATTTTGACGAAAGTTATGGTGGTTTTATTTAATACTAGCCAATTAATCCTGCGACATCAAATCTCTTATGGTTATACAACGATCACGGTAGTAATAAACGATAAAGGAAATTTTTCATTCCTACGTTAATGTTGTCCTTTTTCTTTTTATAGATTTGATTTAATTGACAGACATTTTTTATGTAAAGAAAAAAATGACGTTACCTCAAAACCTTTAGGAAAATCGAGTCCAACAGTTGTAAATTTAAGTCAGTTTGCTTTCATTTTTAAAGAAGTGTTCCGCGACAGTAAAATGCCTTTTTAATGAAAAGCTTCGCTTGTTGCCATAAATAAAATGCTCGAAGCGTGAAACGCGCTCAAGACACAGTTGAGTGATTTATGATGGATACTGACCTTCCTACTAACATGGTGTACAGTATGACCCCTAGGGACCACATGTCCGCCGCTCTACCGGAGTACCTAGCGTGGCTTTTAAGGATTTCGGGGCTGACGTAGGCGGGGCAACCCCTTTTGTCCTGGAGGATGTCATCTTCGCCGTCTTCCAGGACGACAGCATCCTCCAAATTTTCCAGCTTTAATTCAGTCCTGAAACAAACGAGAAAATTGTTTTGAGCTTTTGGAGTTAAATAAGAGGTCGACTGGATATTTGTAAATGAGAAGGTGAGACACGAAATCCCGAGCTACTTGCGTCAGTTATCTGTTACTTAAGTCTTCTGGTGCAACGTAGCCTCCTGGGTAAGTTTGACATCGGAGAACAGGGCGCCCTATATGGTACAACGGTCCGGTTTGAAATCCGTATTGAAACTTGTGGAAAACGAAAGAATTTGCATAATCTGCCGTCTTTTGTGCGAACAATGGAAAAGACAAAGGCGGACTTATTGATTACAAAAGCTTTTGAAAAATACGATTTGTATTTTTAATTCTTTTTTCCCTTGAAACGGGTACACTGCGACGACTCCGGGTTTCATCAGGCCCTATTGTCTTTTATAGAGGCTAGCGACCTCTCATCCAGCGGAAGTTTCGTATTGCAACATTTCCTCGCCCTATAACACCGGACCTCGGGCCGCTTCGAAGATTCCCTAAACCTACTTTCTATCATAGAAAGCTGGCTTATTAAATTTAAAAAAAGAAGAAAGAAAGAAAAGAAAGTGCTTTTGGGTTAAAACAATTCACTTTCTCTCAAGATGAAAAAATATACCAGTAAGACACAAAGATTATAATAAAAAACGAAACGTGAAAATCTTCGTAGATGTAATTTTACCTTATCAGTCACAATAATAGGCAAAAACTAAAATTTAGTAACAAAAGACATCTAAAATGACAAATCCGAAATATTAGAAGCATAAACACAACGCCTGAACATAATCGACTGATTTTTCTTTAACACCAGTCTTAGGAAAAGTGCAATAGAGAATCACTGTTACATCTATTTATTGTTGATTTATTTTCCCACCTCATGGGTATTTTCCTGATGCCCAACTTTGCGATGAAAGTCTGCTTTCTTTAGTTACCTAACAATTATACTATACATTATTTTTATATAATGCTCCCCGTGTGCACTGCAGTTTTTAGCAAGTTACACAACAATTCGAGCCACTTTCCAGTGCGTTGCTCCTTACGGTAATCCATTGGTAAAGAGGCAGGAGTCTATTATCTATCGGCCCAAGTCGAGTCATTGCCTTTGTAAAGTATACTACATTCGACAATGACGACATAACACGAAATAAAGATAGAAATCTCAATAATATTAATTTTGAATTGTCCAGTATTTAGTGGCCGTTAATTAATGATTATTTGGAGATCGTGAGAAGCCCCAGGCCTTGAAGATCTAAATAAAGATCGAAACTTTGGCACAATAAAGAAAATGTTTTTCTAAACCTAAATCACAAAAGACCACATCTCACGATTTCCAAATAATAATTCATTCTGGAACTGAATACAATAGTGCCTTTAGCTTTAGGTGCTCTAGACATGCTACTTATTTTGAAATATTTGCAACTATACCCATGGGACTTCAGTTCAGCAGGGTGAGGCACCAACAGAACCACTGAAAGTGGGGAAAAGCAAAGACGAGTCGGACAGACGTAGACATCCAAGCTAAAGGTTTATTACCCCCATAGAATTCTAGAAGAAATCTCACAGGAGACTTAAAACACGTTTCATCATGCTGGATTCAATAAAATCCGAGTTCCATTTGTATTGATTTATCTAATCAATGGTCTGAAAGACTATCGGAAGGACAGTGAGGATGAGCGATGGGAAAACGTCTTCACCTCCTTTTACTCGAGCTTAAAAGAGATCTGTGACACATTCCGTTTAATCGGTTTGTTTATATAATTATCCTAATCCGGCGTTACCTAATGATGCCGAAACAAGAGAAAAAGAGATCATCGGACTCCTGCAGCGTCGTCAGCGAGAATCCGCGAAGTGGCGATGACCCCCCCCCCTCTTGTAAAACAATGGTGCAATTATTCTAAAAGGTCGGCCCCGAAAACCTCGCGAACGCAACCGTTTCGAAAGAGTCGAACCGATTTCAAAAGTGATCCAGAATAAAACGTTGGCAGATTTTTTTTTCTGAGGTCGGTAAGTCCCCTTTCGGGACGTCGGACTCGTAACCGAACCGATTCCCGAAGAAAAAATCCGGGGAGGGTGTTGGTAAAGAGAGCTCGGAGAAATGCGGAAACGGTCCCGAAGTTTCAACACCCAGGCCACTTTCTACATCAGGGTTATGTGACTCGGTGATGACTTCAGAGTTCGATGCCCTTTCCTCTGCTTTCTATCCCTCCCTTATCGTTGCACGCCCGGGTTATCACTCTTGGGCCGCCTCTGCTTTTTTCCATTTCTAATTGAATACCAACAAAACCGTTAAAAATAACGCCCACACAATACGAAGTGTGTTACACAGCGTTTTTGTGGTACAAGGTGTAACATGAGTTTTGCTGACTTGACGGTACCAATTTTTTTTTTTTTTTTTTTTTTGGATAACGTGATAGTTTTACGTTTATAAAAAGCCAGATATTAGTTCTTCTCAATAAGAAAATTATTGAGAAACAAAATATCAACGCATTTTCTGAAACATCTCATCTTGTCTATGACAGATTATTTTAGCCATTAGTTCCACACACAGTAGTACAAATCATCTGTAGAAAAAACCTACCAGGTCAATTATGTCTTGCACTAAGTATTCCCATTTTTAAGAATATGATGAATGAATAAATTTCACAGTCGAAAAGCAAAGTTCGCAGGAGCATCGTCTGTGCGATTATACCTGAGAGACCCAGCGCCCAGACATAAAATAAAGACCTTCATGCCGTTTTTTTTATTGCTATGGGCGGACCACCTTGGGAATGAAGACAGATGTGCCTGCGATTTGTTAAAAGGCCGCAATATTGACTAGTCTCATAAACGGACTTGTGACGAAAGTCGGGTCGGAGTTAGTCAGAAAGAGTGTGACTAGAAGGTGGGTTGGCCATGTTGCTAAATTGTCGGCAACTCCTTATTGCAGCTCAGTTCACAATATCTGGTCCCTCTTGCCACACTCTCCTCTTGCCAACATGTTAATGAAATTCAGCCATCTAACTTGAGTTTGCTCACTCTGAGCCGTGATTGCATTCTAACAAGCCTTGAGAGTCTCATTTGCAGAAAGAGATAGTTTCGCATATATTAATCAGTCCATCGATAAATCGAAACAGAAGAGGGGGAGTTTCGTCAGTGTAGGAATAACCTTTTTCTTCGTCCTTTGTTGCGCTTTCTGCAAAACGGCGGATAGAAACGAAATTTGTTTTAGTTTGTTGTTGCGAATATTTCTTTCTTCACTTCTCAAATCTCGAAAGATTTACCTTTCAAAATCTAATAAGGCAACTTTTAACTTGATATGCGTTAAGCAAAAGAAAAAGAAAGGAAAGAATTTTTACAAGCAATTTTGTAATAAAACAATCCACTTTAGTCAGCACCTCAGGCAAACACGAACATCGGACCAAGCTGTTTAGTTTACCCTTGATTGATTTTTTCTTTTAAAACCATAGGTTAAGCTTGATCGATAATTGCTTTATGGAAAAAAATATATCTGCATTATGTTGTTCCTTATCATCCTGGTCTGCCTATCCAAGCTTTAGTGGAACGTCTTGCCTCACCCTCCTTTACTCCTGACTCACCATTGAAGATACTAGAACCCGAAGTTCTGTTTTTGACTGATTCTTAATACAAATTGGTAAAAGAGTTTCTAAATATCGTGCTATCTATATTTAACATCAGACGATTTTTTATTTCTTTTATCCAACCTCGACACCTCTTTGAGTGAAGATTGAAAAAGTTTCAGTGAAACTTGCTACTGGGCAACTTCTCCTATAACAGACTCAAATGACAAATTCAATATATTTACTTAATACCTTAATTACTTTAGTAATAGTAAATATCAAATAAATGTAAAACAAATTTTTTTTTATCCAACGGGACCACTGGTGATCGATCAGTCTCCCTTGCTTCCACAGCGACCTAAGACCCGTTGTGGAATTGACGCTTTATTTGCAAACGTCGAAAATTGCACACCTTGTGTTATTTTAGCACTTTTCGCGGTTTCTCTTTACTTCTTAGGAGTGAAATTCGCCTTCTCGAGGAAGCTGCTCGGAAGTCTCTCTGGTCTGAGGTTTTTGTCTGTTTTTCCATTTTTTTTTTTGGTGTGGGCAATGGCCAGTATCTGACTTTTATTTTCTTTAGTTTCTGCTAATTGATAGAAATGTAGCATGTTTTACGACGCTGGTCTCTGATTTCTGGTTAATATATATAATTAGTTATGGTTGAAGTGTGATAGATTATTAGTGTATTTTCTTTTTAGAGGTGATCAGCACGTATCTTCATAACTTAGTTCATGTTGTATAAATTAATCTATAGTTGGATTTTTGAAGATTAGTCTAGCCGGTGAGATGAATATAAACCGGACAAGAATCTGGTTTCTGCAAGGGTTTGGCCGAGGTGGGAGTGACCTCCCTCTCCGTGATGCGTCCTCTCCCTCTTCTCCATCACGGATTCGCGAGCTTCTTTGTTCTTCGGCCCGGTAGGCTCAACGGCCGGGCAACGAACTCGAGGAATTCGCGACCTTAGGACGCCCGGGATCCGGCATGGAAAACGACGAGAGCCGGGACTTTGTTCTTTCAGCGGGCGAAGGTGGCACAGATGGTTGTGAAAGGACAGGTTTTCCGCCACCAGGTGAGACAGATGTTGACTCGCAGGTGATGCGTCCAACGGTTTTGATTTACCCCCTTTTTCATTCATACCCGTCAGTTTCTTTCTCCTTCCATCCTTTCCAAAACTTACAAATATATGGAGTTGTGTAATTAAATTTTTGTTTTTCATAACCGTTATTAAAATTAAAAAATTTTAACTACCGACAAAAATTAATTTAGTTTCTTTAAATATAATAAACTAGTGGCCTGATGGGACAATAGCCCCATTCTACGGTCAGAATCATGGAACGAGATGATTTATGAACGTGGGATAACGTATTGCGAGAAACAAGTCGAAAGCAAGCAAACTGAGTCCTTTGACATAAAAAATAAATGGTGGAGTGAGTGTGTTGTTCAATCTTT